GCCCCGCTCTGCGCCCGACCCTCGCTCCCGGCGTGTTTGCGTGAGTTGGCAAAGCGGGGACTTTCAGGAACTTTTTTGGCCGTGTGTCTCTGCATGAAACGTAGCTCTTTGTCACCGAGGTTTTGCGCGTCTGTTGCAGGACACGATTCATCAGCTGGAAAACGAGCTTAGAGGAACAAAATGGGAAATGGCACGTCATCTGAGGGAATACCAGGATCTCCTCAATGTCAAGATGGCCCTGGATATTGAAATTGCTGCATACAGGTACAGTAGGATCATTGCGGATGTGTCTGGAATATTAATAGCGCTGCAGATGCTTCTGCTTCTGAGAAGCCTTGTCATGGATAAGAAATAACTATATGCATTGAGTACAAGTGAAATTAAAGCTTGACCAAACATATTACAACTTTCAAAATCTATGCAGACCCGAGAAGTCTTTACCATAAGAAATCAAAGTTCATTAGTGACCAGTGCGCTGGTAATCAGCGGTAAAGCCCCCAGTGGGAACAGGCTAGCGTGACTCATACAGTAGCACCCTAATGCGGCAACCTGCCCTTGTTTACAAAAGCAGAAGATGAAGCAAAATATAAGGTTATTTTTAATTTGTTTGTTTCACTTTGCATATGCCAAGCAAGTGGCACTTGTCATTTGAATTCCCTTTTCTCACTTGAGAGACAAGGTGCACTTGCTTGATCATGGTTGCAAGCGGGGAGTGCCGATCTGCTTGTCACAAACACTTTAGCTTTCTTGCTCAACTTTCCTTTGGCAACCGCTCTGAACTGATTCCGGAGCAGGAACGCTGTTTGCTATTGCCACCACCTGGCAGGCTTTTTCAAGCCACCTTTGTATCACTTCATAACTCTAATCAGAGAACCACAGATTTTTCTGGGTCACAGGCTTAGATGAAAGAAACTCCCTTTTGAATATCAAGGGAGTCAAGTCAGAAAACAGCTTCAGATCCTTGAGGTTCTGACGTTGTTCACAGATGAACACAGACAACAGAAACCCTCGGTTCTATGGCTGCTTGCTGCCAAAGACAGGTTAACTGGACAAAATCTTAAGTCTCTAATTTTCAAAGGCAGACTGGAAAGGCAGATGCCCAAACTATTGAGAACTAGACTGTATGCTCCAGTAGACTTTGAAAATCTTAACCACAATATTTAATGTGAGTCCATTGGCTGCATCCAGTTCTCAGTTGACCTAAGTCATAACGCATCTAATGAAGTTACTCAATTTGCCATGCTAAAGTTCTTGACCTTAAGGATGAATTTTAGCTTATTAGCTAAAGGTGTTATGCTTGCCGCATGTAAACCAAGCTAAGAGCTGTTTGCTGAATAAGAAATTTCCAAAAAAGCTGATCCAAGGAAAGCAGAAGCAGGGCTGAGGATGACAGATTATGCTGATCAGCTCTATAAATGCAAAAAAAAAAAAACCACCAGTTTTCATCCTGCTGATGAAAAGGGAAATATTCTAATAGCTGTTCCTTATGTTCGGTTTCTACGCTCACTCCCCCCCCCCACCCCTTTTGATTCCCTTAGGAAACTACTGGAGGGTGAAGAGACAAGATTCAGTGCCTTCTCTGGAAGCATTACTGGACCCTTGTTCACACACAGGCAGCCATCAGTCACAATAACAAGTAAAATACAGAAAAAAGCTGAACCACCAAAGCTGAAGGTCCAGCACAAATTTGTAGAAGAAATTATTGAAGAGACAAAAGTAGAGGATGAAAAGTCTGAAATGGAAGATGCCCTAGCAGCTATTGCAGAAGAAATAGCAGCAAAGGCTCAGCAAGAACAGGAGGAAAAAAAGGCAGAGGAGGGAGAAGCTGTAGCAGAAGAAATTGCTCCAGAGAAGGCGGCTGCAGAACAAGCAGCTGCACCTGAGGAAGAAAAGGAAGAAGAAGCAGAAGAGGAAGAAGCTGTAAAATCTGATGAGGCAGAAGAAGGAGGTTCTGAAAAAGAAGAGATAGAGGAAAAGGAAGGGGAGGAGGCTGAGGAAGAGGGGGAAGAAGCTGAGGCCAAGGGGAAGGGAGAAGCTGAAGAAGCAGATGCAACTGTTGCAGGAGCCAAAGTAGAGAAGATCAAAACACCTCCACCAAAGTCACCACCTAAATCCCCACCTAAATCTCCTGTAACAGAGCAGGCCAAGGGAGAACAGAAGGAACCAGCTGCAGAAGTAGGAAAAGAACAGAAAGAGGAAAAAGTTGGTGAGAAAGCAGCCAAGGAGGAAGAGAAAGCAGCACCTGTGGAGAAGCCAGCAACACCAAAGGCAGCCTCTCCAGACAAGGCAGCAACACCAGAAAAGCCTGCATCTCCAGAGAAACCTGCAACTCCAGAGAAAGCAGCAGCCCTGGAAAAGCCGGTGACCCCAGAGAAGCTCCGTTCTCCGGAGAAGCCAGCGACTCCCGAGAAGGCAGTGACCCCAGAGAAGCTCCGTTCTCCGGAGAAGCCGGTGACCCCAGAGAAGCCCCGTTCTCCGGAGAAGCCAGCCTCCCCAGTCAAAGATGAAAAGCCTGTGGTGGAAGAGACCATCACTGTCACAAAGGTAACAAAAGTTAGTGCAGAGGTAGAGGCCTCCAAGGGGTCCAGGAAAGAAGACATTGCTGTAAATGGTGAGGTGGAGGAGAAAAAGGAAGAGAAGGAGGCTGAGGAAGAAGGTAAGGGAGTTGTCACCAACGGCCTAGACGTGAGCCCAACTGATGATAAGGGTGAAAAAGCTGTAGTAACCAAAAAAGAGAAAATCACTAGTGAAGGTGGGGACGGTACAACCACATATATCACAAAGTCCGTGACAGTCACTCAGAAGGTAGAGGAACATGAAGAAAGCTTTGAGGAGAAACTAGTGTCCACCAAAAAAGTGGAGAAAGTTACTTCACATGCTGTAGTAAAGGAGATCAAAGAGAGTGAATAAAACAAATTATAGCAAAATAAAATTAAAGAGCTTGGGTCGGTGCAAAAGGTTAAGCCATATGACAGCTACAAAATGCATGTGAGTGACGGCTTTAAAGCAGAATGGGTTCTCTCATGGAGGCTCCAGACACACAGTATTTTACTTTTTTGTGCAATATAGGGGAGGGGGGGGGAATGCATGCAGGCTCAAGATGTACTCCCTCCACAGACCTTGGGGAACTAAAAAATAATAATAATAGTGCATGAGATGAAATGTGCAAAGGAAGCTTTTGAATTTCCTGAGCTGTTGGAGGGACATATCTGAGGAATGACTTAAGATGTATTATGCAAAGAACCAACTGAGCCAAAACCAAACAGAAAACAGTAATAGTAATATTCATGAGAAAAACAGAACTCTCCTAGCCTTAAAGCTACTTATAAATAATTATGTTTACCTCACTGGTGCAATTAGGGTGGACTTTTGCTCATGGGAGAACCTAGTTGACATGCACAGTACGCAACCTTTTGTTGTTTGATGTAAAATCGTCACAGCAGTTCTTGCTCAATAAAGGTCAATACTGAAAACATGACTTGTCTGGTGATTCTCTTCCAACTAAAATTCTTCCGTGAAGTTT